ATATATGGCACTAAATTACCTGAATGGTCTTATGGTACAAAGAAATTTTATTTGTTTGGACTTTTTTCATGGTATCTTCCACCTAAAATAGAAGTCTTTCAGAGGTAAGAACAGCAAGTTCTGTGTAACTATGCTTTTTTTAAAAAAAATTCTATGTAGATAACTTAGTTATAAATGAACCACAAGAAAGACTGCTACCCATCTTTCTAAAAATCTAGACCTTGTTTTTAATTAATAACAATAAAATTGTCATGCTGTGTTTGTATGGTGCACATAGTATCTTAGATTGCTAGACAATTTTTTGTAATGTAATTGCTGGATAAAGCTCAGAAGGAAATATTGACTTCAGGTACACTTCTTATAAACTTTCAATTGGGATTCTTTTTTTAGCTTTATAGGGTCTAAATTGGGAAAACAATCTTGAAGCTTTACAGATAAAAATATAACTTTAGGACATTTCTAAACGGCACAAACTACCTATTGTTTTAATCATACAATTTATCATATATTTTATCATTAAAATGTTGGTCTTCTATATATTAAAATTGTTATTCTGCTTCTTATGTGCAGTTTTCTTGTAAACTCACTTGTTTTCTCTCATCTTTTTGTTTAGTCATGAATTGATTTAATCTTTCCACTTCTTTATTTAATTCCCGGCTAAACTCTAAGTGAGCATTGGCCATGGCTTCAGTGCGAGACTTCAGTTCTTCCCATGACGCCCTTAGGGTACTGTAAAATACAATATAATATAAAGGTTAACTCAGTGTATCTGCTTCCTTAAGGGGAAATCAGTGCATCCCCCTTCCTTAGATGGAAATGAGTAGCAAGTTGACACTTGGTAAAATGTTTCTGTTCCTACCAATTCAGTTCCAGAACTAACACTTGTTTTTTTGTTTCTACAGTTTTATATCCTCATGGGACATAATGAAAACAGGAAAAGGTTTAATGGCAGGAAAACAGCATCATAGAAAAAATGATGGGATGCCCAAAACATTAAACAAGTGTTTCTCAAAATGAGAATATTTACTTAAGAAAATCTCCTCTCCTTTCCTTTAATGCATGCAGTTTTCTTTCATCAAAACTAATCCGCCCTCTTTCATAAATCACTAAATTGTCACATCTTGCTTATATTCTTATGGTGTAATTTTCTTCTACGATAGTTATGAAATTTGACATACAACTATAGGGGTTAGGGCCATTATTATCAATTTTAAAACTTCTCAATTAACATGCGTTTCAAAGAACAATTCACTATATAGCATGTGATTTTCATTTTAAGTAGATAAGATGATTAAATCTGTGATAGATCATATCTGGCCAAAGATATCAGCTCTGACCAAACAACACTTTCACAACATAAATATACATACTAGCACTAGATATAAACTGAAACAAAAACATATCCACTTGTTGTTATCTGTTTCAAAATAAAAGAGGTCTACTTGTAGATAACTTTACCCATTTTCAGTTGCACCTCCTGCTTTCTTCGTCAAGTTTATTAAATTCTTTTGGTAGTCTTCCTCAATCTTAGCCCTTACAAATGAATAAATGTAATAAGGTAATGTAATATTCTTAATAAGACAAAAACAACAATTACATAATGAATATTATTAACATCTCTCAAAAGGGGAAAAATGGATGTTTCAAAATGACCTCTATAAAAGTATATAAGCATCATCATTATAGGCTGCCATATTAAACTGGTAAGTACTATATATATACACAATGGCAAAAGCATTATCATATATTAAGTAAATAGAAGATAGCACTTTACTCAAGCAATGATTGTCATTCTGCATTATGACAACAAAAGATGTTAATCATTTAACTTCAGTTAAAACTTATCAGTCATTGTTATCCTTTAGGGAGCTTAGCTATGACAAGCTGAGGTGTATGGTCAGCTTTTACCTGCTATGTTTCTATGTGTTGATGTGAGAGGGAGACAAAAGAACGCAACACCGCCCATGCGCTTTTACTGCTCTAAACTAATCTTTATTTACCATTTTTATGGCATTTTTTATAAATATGCTGCAAATTTACTTAAGCAATTTTGCAATTCTATGATATCTATGATATGTTTATTGGGGTAATAGATTTTCAACGATTACAGTGGACTTGTACATATGTGTGTGTGTGTGTGTGGGTGTGGGGGGGGGGGGAAGAGAGGGAAATCAACCTACTGCCAGGTTGTTACAACTTGTACATTTACTTTCCTCATGCAAATATTCATTTTGAATATTTTAAACCTCAAAACATGACATCATGTAAAGCAAATGAATCAAATGAATTTCAACTGCTGAAAAATTTTGGGATAAAATTCAAGATACCTCTGTTTTAGAAAATCTTCCACATCTTTGACCATCTGCCTTCCATCTTTCAGTCGTCTGCATACTGTATCGAAACCAAGTGTGCTGCAAAACTCTGTGCCCTAAAATGATATAATTTGCTCCATGTACTGTACCAATTCAATTTAGCTTTTACTGTTTATATTGAACCAGTCACATGTGAAGCAGTGACAAGTTTGTCACTGTACCTACAGGTGTACCCAAGGAAAGTTCATATTTTTAATTGTTGTATTAAAAAAGACCATTTTGATTCAGTCAAACTATTATTAATAGTATTATATTTTAGACATGAACGATTTTGATGCACAACATAAAGCAAAATGGGAAGCTTTCAGAAACAATGACTAAGAGGGAAAATTATCGATTCTTGGAAACCGAGCAATAGTACGTAATTGCTCGTCCAGCTTTGTTTATAAATTACCGTTTTAACTGCATATATGTATGTGGGTGTTTTACATAATTATTTTATTACCAAGATTGAACAGAAATCTCAGCTGAATCTAGAGAACACATAAAAATATAGCAAAACTGAATGTTCCATAAACAGCACTGACATACAACTACATGTGCATGTACATTCTTCTCTAAGACTAATGCTGAAAGAAACACTCACCCAAAAAGCGTCTGAAAATTTCTTCAACTTGGTCATCTTGCAGATTGAAAATGCTCCACAAACACAATGAAATGGTGGAGCTCTTGGCTTTATTTCGAATCTGCAAAGTAAGTGATTCCTGACTAGCCTTGTTTTACCAGTTTGCTACCAGCATTAATTACAGGCTTGCACGTTTCTGCATCCTGCATCCTACGTCCCAAATAAGTGATTTTTAAGAGGCTGCTGTATGAACCCGGAAGTTTAATGTATACATCAAAATAAGAAAATATCAGTCAAGTTACTCTTAAAACTTGGAAATATTTTAATAAAAAATCGTTTAGGGGAAATTGCAACGTTTCTTTCTATATTTTTATTTACAATTATTGCAAGTTTAATTCAGTGCAGAACAAGGTCAAGGTCATTAAAAGTTGCCAACCTCTGCAAAGGCACACGTTTGTCATATTTTTGGAAATTGCCCGAATAAAAAAAAGACAATGTAATGTGAGATAGCTTAAAAGGTAGCTAGTAACATGGCCGAAGAAAAGTACAAGTGCCGTATGTGCAGACATACCCTTACTTCGAGTAGAGACATATCAGGTGACGTGTTAAAGTTCAAGATTAGTCCAAAACCGGTTTTACAAATGAACTTATTCCCGAAATAAATCGATCTAAATTATTGTCTATTTTTGACTAAAATGATTCAGCAGCAGTTCAGATAGTTGGAATATAGTTTTAAAACAAGAAAGACTTGCCTAATATTTCATACTAATACAATAATTTCATTGAACATGCACAACTACCGGTACTTTTAATATACAGTACTTTTGCTAGTACCACTATTTAACGTTCAACTTACCATGTACTTCCATGAATTACCATGCTTTAAAACTCTAGACGCTTAAGTTGTTTTGTGCTACCAGACCATAAGGCTTTATAGACTAACAGTAAATTAACCCACATATTACATATAACATGGTTATAAATATATTTCGTACTCTGACAGTATTTCAACATTAATATTGACTTTAAAGTAAATCTCGTTCTTAGTTTCATGTGTAATTTGATCTTTATTCAAAGCTGCAATGAGTTTGATTGTATTTCTTTTATACAGTATCTTGGCCCACACTGACATTGATATGGTTCAACATTGACGAAATTTATTTTATCATTATTCCATAATAGATTTGGACTGCAACACTTCCTCACCTTTAATATGGTTAAGAGAGGTGGACAGTTTGGAAGGCCCCCAATGGATTTTGGATCAACTCTTGAAGGTACTTATACTGTACATGTTAAAGATCGGGTCATTTAATTCTTACTTTGTGTGAGATATATAGAATTGAGTGTAATATGAAACTATATTTCATCCAAATATCCTCTTTTTGAAGCACCTTTTTACTTTATAAATGTAACTACAGTAATATTACTGGTTTGTGTGTGTGTGTTTGTGTGTGTGTGTGTGTGTGTGTGTGTGTGTGTGTAAAAAAGAGATAGAGAGAGAAAGAGGGTGTTTTTTTAGTGAATTTTTAAATGTTATAGCTGTTTTTCAATGTTACAAAAATATAGTTTTCATTGTTAACTTTTTTGTCTGTAACAGAACTACAAATGATGTTGATTTTGGTCTTTGATATTTCCAGGGAGGCTGGACAAAAGGGAAGCTAACCTGCCCAAAATGTGGTGGAAAAGTAGGTGGCTTTGATTTCATCAGTCCAAGTAGATGTAGCTGTGGTTTGCATATGAACCCCTTCATATATCTAACAGCTAACAGAGTGGACAGAGATAGACCTGTCCCAGTGCCACAATCCACCCCCAGTGCTGCCCCTCTAGCACAGAGACCAGTTATTACAAGGGAGGAAAGTGGTGGCATTGTATATTTAGATGGTGGAAGTGAGAATCTTGCAATTGCATCAGCAGCCAGTGATGACATTGACCATTTACTACAAAGTGATTTAATACAGGCATCTGGTGATGGTGGTAATACCTCTTTAAGGCATAGGAATAGAGAAAGAACTGAACATTCTGTTAGTGAAAGAAATGCAGAATGCGAGAGCTGTCTGCGTCAGATCGCCAACTCCAGTTCCACAGACACTGTGTGCCCATTGTGTAGAACTGAAATCAAGAAATGCATTTTACATGAAGGTACTGTATAAGTGTCCTATTAAATTAGTTTCTTAAGCATATTTGAATAAAAAAAACTTCATATTTAACTCTAATTTTATTTGGTACGTAGACATTGCCGTACTTGATGACTAACTGGTAAAGTGCTTCTTTGTAGCGTAGGAGGTTTTAGGCATGATTCCCAGACTGGATCATATCAGTGATCATCATAAAATTGTCACCTCTCCCCCAGGCCAAGTTTTCAACTTAGGTGGAAGTTGGATTTATATGGTCATGGATTAATTGACAGAGTTTGAATGATTAGCCTTACAATTATTGACTGATCATTCAGCATCTTCTCTGGTAGGTGAGAAATGCAAAAAAAAGTGCATTTAATAATGTTATCTGTATATATAAAAAACCAGTGCATCTCTTCTGATTTATTTTGAAATATTATTTTTTTGTGAATTCCAGATCTAGAGAGACAAATCAAAACCACTTTCCCAGAGGACTATAAGTGTCGACTAAAAGAAGGCAGGAAACTGAGACTTAAACACATGCCCCTTCCTCGTAGAAGATGGAACCCGGGGCTTGACCTGGAGTACCAGCAGCAGCTGAGCTGGAACAGTTATAAAACTGAGCTAGCTGTGGTGTTCATGTTGTTCTTTGTGGTGGCAATATTGGCTCTGTCATCGTTTCCCATGGTGATGGTGTTACATGGAGGGGAGCCTTGACAACGATTGACTTACATGTATGTGAATATTTACACCAGGCAAAGTATAGTTGTGTTGAATGTAAACTTTACTAGATTAATCATAGAGAAAGTAAGAAATCGATAATATGAGGTCATTGACAACGTAAGACAGTAAGAAATTGATATTTTTTACTTGAAAGTGCTCAGCTTCATCAGGTGAAAAATCTTTTTTCAGTTAGCACTATGTGGTTATGAAGTTGGAGCTTGTGGCATCTGATAAATGCACCTTTGTGATACTTGTCAACTTCAAACGTTGTGCAATAAAACTGAAAAACTGAGGATACACATAAGAGTGATTGTGTTTATTCTGGTAAATTATTTGAAATAAAACTTGGGGGAAAAATCATGAGTCAAATTGTAATATAGTAAGCCAGGTTTCAGTATTTTTGCTGTGAATGATATAACAAAAAGCACTTAAAACTTAAGTGGTTAGTCAGTTCCCCAAAAATGGACAAATTCATCCCAGTTGAGTTTTTTGTCTCCATCCTTGTCATTTTCAAGTACCATTTTCTCTATTTCATCATCTGCGATGTCAAATTGTCTCATGATCTGAAAGAAATACAAATCAAATCATGCTCCAGATTTATGTTGTTATGCATTGTGGAATTTTTGGTTTTGAAAGTCAATAAGGAGAAGGTTAGTTAATTCAAGTCAATTTATTCTTACTATTCAAAAAAAAAAAAAAAAA